CCACCATCTAAAGAACGTAGAAGAGCTTGTGGGCCACAAGTATCCCACTTGTATGTAGATCCTTTAGATAAAATATAAGCATCGACTTGTCCGAGGGCAACGCTTAATATTTTATAACCAGCCCCAGCTGCTTCCACTAAAGTGAAACCAGCGCCTAAGAGTTTAGATTTCACATTTTCATCCTCAACTCTACTCAGGACAATTATTTTTTTGTTGGTAGTTTCTTTCACTATAGAACATGTCCCAACATCTTTTTCCATAAATCCCCAGTAGCAATTGCCTTTCCATCTATGAAATGAAGTGTGAAACTCATTGACTATTGATATTGTACAAGTATAAATTAAATTTTGATCCATTTACCGTAAATCCACATTTGTATAAAAAGGCTGATTAATTACTCCCACAATTGGTATGCCTGTGCTTTTCAAGAATACTCCAATCAAGACAGTGACACATCGTAAACCACTCATATGTACGCCAGTGACTTCATCTACCTTTTCACTCCCATTTATATAATCAGCAGTTGAATCTACAAAAGTTCCATGAATTGCCCCTCGGGCATGCTTTATTAAACTAAAAAAAAAATAAAAAAAATAGAGGCTTTAACATACTCATACAACATGACAGAATACCATTAGTATGTATTATAATAAAGTAGAATGAAAATATACATAACAAAAAATAGAATAAAAAGAGAAATATATAGTAGATACAGAAAAATATGCAAAATTTGAAGCTACTTTGGATAATACTAGTACTTAAAACAATAAAAATAAATTATATGAAAATGAAGATATTTACCATATAAATTTCCCAGACATCGTTTTAATAAAAATAGCAGTATTAATATTATTTTATATCTGTTACATATATAGTAAATCTTTATTTTAGAGCATTTAAATTACACTGTTATGTTTCTTACCAATTGGATCTATCCATATACCAAGATCATAAATATCAATATCAAAATCAAAAGGTAGTTCTACTACCATTGGAATATCTAAGAATTGGACATCCTTATGAACTTCAGTGGCTAATAATTCAGCAGTTGCAATATCACTACCCATCACTTTGGCTAATAGTTTAGTGGTTTCTTCAACAGTCGGACATACTTCAACCACTATAGATTCACCCATGGCATTGCTGAATGTATTAGTTTCCTCTCCTTGCACTACCTTAGCCAGTTCTGGAAACTAATTTTCTATAAATAACTTTTGTTTTATATTCTTCTTTTTGGGAAGATATATCTAATATAATATATTGATATAGTTGTTCTGAACCAATTATACATATGTTTTCAGTCATCGTTTATATGTGGATGTTTGTGAACAAAACAATGAACTAAATATATACTAGCAATTTACCTCTAATCCTATGTCGTGTTTGATCGTTTCTTGAATAAGAACATCTGCTAAGGTTTTGAAATCTTGGAAGAAGCGTGGATTCTTTTCTTCCTCTGATTTTTCTTGTACAAGTAATTTAAATAGAGCGTCATTATGCCTGCAAGCTCTTGCAATATTTGCTGCTTTTTCTGAAGCTTTCAGAAGAATAGACAACAATCTGCTTCCGTCTTTCATTGTAACAGTTAATGATTTTCCAAATTTTAATAACTATAAAATTAATGATTTGTTAAAAAGTTGAATTTTTAAATAAGCACTAAGTATTAAAAATTTATAGACAATATTTTTCAAAACATGAAATACATACGTTTTCTTGCACCGAATCTGTTAAAGAATCGTTTGGCGGGAACCCGTGCAAATTCTATTATATAATCGCAGATTATTGATACAGCAGCATGTAGCATGAAAACGTAACAAGTAATATAAATGCGTTTGCAATTCAAGCTCAGAATATCTGAATATTAAAATAGTCATTCATGCATTATAATTTCAATGACGCAAGCGGAAATTTCCATTTTTATCTTAATCAACTCAGTACAGTCTCATCAAAATAAGATAGTTAAAGATATAATTAAACGTGTTTAATAAAAATTATTATATGACAATTATTATATGATGATAGATAAATTTGTCACCATATTATTTGATTAAATTTTTAACTAATGTTAAATCGATATTTCTAAAATATTTGGTTATCTTATTGCTTATAATCATTCGAGCAATTAAAGAAATAGATATAAAACAATAATGTACAATTCAATAAAAATACAAAATTAAGAAATTTGTTTACATTGGTGTTTATTTCCAAATAGAAAGTGTCACTCTTACACATTGAATTTTTATTTCATGTGCATACATAACATACAATGATTCAAACAATGTATATAACCTTTCCTAAGCATGAAATGCACTAATATAACATTGACAGTGCATTTGTAATTATTCAATTATTTGATTTTTTAAAAGTTTCTTTTTAAATTATTGACTTAATGAAAAGAAGTCTGAATTAGTGTAGTACATATAATGTAAAATTGCTATAGAATTTAACAAAGAATAATTCATTTTAATAGCAGAAAAGGAGAAACATAAGTATTATTTAATTTATTTTAAACAGGATAATACGAATATATTAATTTGTGTACATATTTTATCCAAAATAGATTTAATATTTATTAAACATTTGAATATTTATGTAATTGAACATGACAGCTATACTAGGTGGTGGTATATCAGGTTTATCAGCTGCATATTATGCTCTTGAAAATCCAAAACTGGCTCCACCAGTTATATTAGAAGTTTCAAATCGTGTAGGTGGTTGGATACGTTCTGTAAAACAACCTGATGGAACAATCTTTGAAACAGGTCCACGAGTTATTAGAGCTAACTCACATGATTTATTGAAATTAATAGAAGAATTGAAATTATCATCTAAAGTTATTCCAATTAAAGCTGAACATCCTGCTGCTAAAAACCGATATATTTATGCAGACAATGTATTGCATTGTTTACCTAATTCCCTAAAAGGAATTATAACAAAAAATACGCTGTTAAATCATTCTTTAGCTAGGCTTCTGTGGAATGATTTTAAAGCAGCAAAAGTTCTTAAAGATGACGAAAGCATATATAATTTCGTAGAAAGGAGATTTGGCAAAGATGTATCTGAAAAGATGGTTGCACCAATATTATGTGGAATTTGTGGTGGTGACATACATCAATTAAGTGCAAAATCTTTTATGACAAATATATTTGAAACAGAACAAAAATATGGTTCTGTATTTATGGGTCTTGTACAGAAAAAATTTTCAGATATATTAAATAAAAAAGAAAAAAAAGAAGTTACATTGGAAAACACAAATGAGACTCAAAAAATAGTAAAATCAAATAACATATCTTCACTTTTAGTACAGAAAGCTAAAAGAGAATTATGGAGTACATGGGGACTAGAAGGAGGTTTTGAACAATTGCCTCAAACACTGGCTGAAAATATTACTAAACGTGGAGTGAATATAAAAATGAAACATAACTGTGAACAAATAATATTTAACGAAGATTGTGTAGAATTAATTGTAAATGGAAAAGTTGAAAAATATTCTCATATCATATCAAGTTTACCTGCTAAAAGTTTAGCTAATTTAATTCAAAAGCAACACCCAGAACTATCTAAAGAATTATATAGTATACCTACAGTAACGATAGCTGTAGTTAATCTCCAGTTTTCTGAAAATGTTTTACCAATAAATGCCTTTGGGGTTCTCATTCCACCAAAAGAAGAAATTCCAATTTTGGGTATAATATTTGATTCGTGTGCCCTTCCTCAAAATTCCAAAATGACAGTATGTATAAATATAAATATTTATTACACCAGCTTAATGCTTTTTATAATAAATTTTTATAAAGTAACTTTGCGGTGACATAAAATGATTTTTGACTTTTAAATAATCTTTCACAAATATATAGTGGACTAGAAACATTTCTTATTCAATATATACAATTTTTGTTTTCAAATCCAGGTACTGACAGTAATGATGGGTGGGGCATGGTTTGAAAAATACTTTGGTAGATGCTCATCTGAAGAACATTTAAAAACGGTAGCAGTTAAATATGCAAACAAACTTTTATGCATTAATGAAGATCCCAAGGCATGTAATGTTTCCATTCTGAAAGATTGTATTCCACAATATATAATAGGTCACGCACAACGCTTAACTCGCATCCATGATTACATCTCCACGCATAAAATACCTTTAGCATTGTGTGGCTCTTCATATCACGGTGTAGGAGTCTCTCATGTTATTCTGTCAGCAAAAGAAGCTGTTTCTAGTATCAATCAGTGTATGATATAGCTTTGTGAAATTTAATTAATCAATTTTCTTTGATTTAAGAATGAAACAATATATATACATGCAAGAAATTAAGCCAAAATAATTTTTTAAAAAATAAACTGTAATTTAACTTGAACTAAAAACATGCATTGTTCATGCTGCTTAATGAAAATAAAGAGAGCAATTTACACAATAAAATAGAAATAATACAAAAATTAAGAGAGATATCATAATATAAAAATTAAAGAATGAATGAAAGTATAAAAAGTAAATAGGACATAAAATAATTATTCCAAACCAGCATTTTATTATACTAGAGCTGTGAAAAGATTTTATAGCTATTAAAATAAAACATAGGTATAAAATATTTTTTATTATAAAAGTGTAAAATATATATATATATTGTGCATGAAATAAAATATAGAACATTTAGTACAGATATAGATTTTTGTTTTATACTCTATTTTACATATACAATACTACTAACACTACATAAAAAAAGAAATAGCACTCATATGATAATTATCGTATTTTATAATAGATCTAAGTATTACTATTAGGTTGTCCGAAAAGTGTCTTTCCTTTACAGATATGTCTTTTACAACGATGCATCTTTATACAAACATAAAACCTAATCTGTCAAATGTTGTGATCTTTATTTTGATAGAACAAAATGGATCATACGTAATTCGATACAATAATACAAAACGGAAAATGTTGTGCATCCATTATTTCCTTATAAAGCGAAAGAAACTTTTTGGACGACCTAATACTTACATAAACCCCCAAATATATATGTTTATGCATATTTTTTTTTATGTAACAAAAACATTTAAGCAATCTTAAGTATACTATAATCTTCCAATTATGTAGATAAGCAAGCATGAAGTATCATAAAAATGCAGCACACAAGCATGTAGCATTCCGTTCTTGTAAAAACTGTGCAACTACTATAATGCAGTACTTAGATCATTTATGTTCAAACTCTATCTGAGCTTTCTCAAAATCATAAAAATAACTGTTTATACAAAAAAACTTTTTATAAAAAAAAATATATGAATATAAATATATATATATATGATTCTCTAATAAAATAATAAATTCAGGCAGAACAAAAGTATTTTGTTATATGCTTTGATATTGACAAATTAAATTTACTGACTAACAGTACCTGCATATTTAACTTCATCGAATGCTTTTCTAGCTTTCTTTAATTCTTCATTCATTGTTAGGAGATCTTTAACTCTTGCATATTTCCTTGGGTCTTTCCTAACTGTAAAAGAAAATTTTCAATTTAACAAGCCAATTTAAAATTTATGGAAAGATAATAATTTATAAGACATTATGCAGAAATCAATATACATATCTTATTACTACCTAAAAATACGATATCCTCTACTTGCACACGACCGGTACGACCAATTTCCATAGCTCTATGTGTCATTTCGGTAATAAATTCAATAACAAGATCTTCTAATAAATCTACACTTTCTGTATAAGGATTTTGATCATCACCAAAACCATACATCATACACCGTAATTCTTTCGAAAATAATCGTTTTCTACCACCGGGTAAAGTCCCGCCAATCGGAATTTCTGCCTCTTCATCTTCGAACTGTGAAAACACAATTTTTTTTATATAATTTTCATGAATAATCTTGTTTATTAATTTCAAAGACACATACTTATTAAACTAATTTTAAACATGTTTGAAATAAACATAATTAAGGTTAGACATTTTGCCTTAGAAGTAATATTAAATATCTCGCTTTATTAAATTAACTATCATAATATAAAATTTTATAAAAACAAATTTCATAAGAACCTGTTCGAAACCTTCTTCCGTGGCCATAATTTGATGTAATCGTACGAATTTAACAAAAATTCGAGAATTCTCTTACTCAATGAAAAGATATGTACAAACAAAAACACTGCCTGTCACGTTCACACCAAATGTTCAATGGTTTTATTAATCTGTGAAATTTTCTGCAAGATAATTGTGGTAAATGATAAATATCTTAAAGTTTAAAGGAAGTGTTTGAAAAAATTAAAAAATTATGCCACCTGTAATTCCTACACCGAAAACTTGGAAAGAAACCAATCGTTTATACAAAGAACAGCGAAAGAAATGGAAGGAAGAGAGGTTAGCAAAAAAGCTTAAGAAAGGAGAAGCTAAAAAAGAATTACAGAACGAAGTAGCTAAACTTGTTGAAAGTCATTTCGAAAAAAAAGACATTTCGACTTTGAGTATCGCAGTTCCTGGTTCAATTTTAGATAATGCTCAGTCACCAGAATTACGAACATATTTGGCAGGACAAATAGCACGTGCCGCATGTATTTATAAAATAAACGAAATCGTCGTTTTTGACGATAAAGGAGAGATAACTGAAAGTGAAAAGAAGAAAATAAGAAATGACGAATTCTTAGGTGAAAGACGAGTTGGATGTTTGCAATTAGCTAGAATATTGCAGTATCTTGAATGTCCACAATATTTAAGGAAGTATTTCTTTCCGATTCATAAAGATTTGCAGTATGCTGGAGTATTAAATCCTTTGGATGCTCCACACCACTTACGTCAGCAAGATATATCTTTGTATAGAGAAGGAGTAGTTACAAATAAGCCAGTTAAACCTGGCAAAGGTTCTCATGTGAATGTGGGATTATTAAATGATGTTTCTGTGGATAAAGTATTAACGGATGGATTAAGGGTTACAGTGAAGATACCCAAAGACCAACCAAATCCGAAAAAAATAAAAGGCTTCATTGTTCCACCTGATGTTCCCAGATCAGATACTGGAATATATTGGGGATATACTGTGAGATTAGCTAATAATCTTACAGAGGTGTTAACTCAATGTCCTTATAAGAATGGATATGATTTGACCATTGGTACTTCAGATAAAGGAAATTCTATTGATGATGTGGAATCAAAAAATATTAAATACCATCATGCTTTAATAATATTTGGAGGATTGTGTGGATTGGAAGCAGCAGTAGACAATGACCCTAATTTGAATGTGGATGATGCTTCTTTGGTGTTTGATCAATATTTAAATACTTGTCCTCAACAAGGATCAAGAACTATTAGGACAGAAGAAGCTATTCTAATCACTTTAGCAGAATTAAGAACAAAAATATTTCCTAAAGTCTCTTTGTTGCCAAATCCCCAGTTTGACAATTTTACAAATATATAACTATCAGTGAATATAAGTGACTGTAATGACACCAAAATAGAAAATAATAATTTGCCTTCTTATTTTGGTAAAAAATTCTAAACAGAATTTTATATTTGCAAAATTTGTAACATATAAGTATAACATATCAATCTTATATGTAGAAAAGATACTTTCCTTTCCTTCTTATTTACAATTATTTTGCAATGCACAATTTACTGTGTCTCTTAGAGTTTTGATAACTTTGGCTTGATCAGAAGAACCTATGACAGCTGTTCCAGAAACGATCATGTTTGCACCAGCCTAAAAAAGAATATATATAATGTTCTTTTTGTTATAATATATGTTAAAATATATATCTACTAAATTTAAATACATACCTTTGCACATGCACCAATAGTTTCTGGTCCAACACCTCCATCAACTTCTATATCCAATGTAGGATAATTTTTCCTAAGCCATGATACCTTTTTCATCATTGGTTCCATAAACTTTTGACCACCAAAACCTGGTTCTACAGTCATAATTAATACCATATCTGCTAATTCAACATAATCCTCGACTACATTTACTGGAGTCTGTGGTTTAAGTGCTACCCCAACCTTTCATTTAAAGAAATAACGTATTTAGTATAATCTTTAACCAAGCAGGTTTAATTTCATTGAAAATATGAGGTACATACTTTCATTCCTGTTTCTCTTACTTTTCTGCAAACTAGTGGAACATCGTTTACTGCTTCAACATGAAACGTATATTGGTTGACACCAGCATCAGCCATTGGCTCTATCCACTAAGGTAAAGGAAAAGTGTTCAATTTATAGATAACATTTCTTCAAATAAAATGTAAATAGAAATGATATACAACTGAAAATTTAAATTAAAGAAAAAGCAAGGTAAAATATACCAGATTGGGATTAGAAACCATCATATGCGTTTCAAAAAAGGCATCTGTTACTTTATTTCGAAGACACTTTACTAATGGGTGACCAAAACTAAGGTTAGGTACAAAGTGTCCATCCATAACATCTAAATGTAAATAATCAGCACCACTATTAATTAATTTTTGTGATTCTTCTGAAAGTTGTGACAAATCAGCGTTTAGAATCGAAGGTCCAATTTTCGCAGTCAATTTTTTTGCCATTTTTTAATTAGATTGCTACGAACAAGTGACACGTGTCTTCAGTTATAACAATATAGCATTATCAACTGGACTAATGATCTTTCATACAAGGTCATTTTTTTCTTCTCAGATTCGTTGTATTAGTTAAGAAATGTAACGAATTATACATACATTTAAAAATCTAACTCAATCGAGGAAAGTCAGGTAGGGAAAAAATAAATATAACACAATGTTTATAAACATTGTACGAAATGAAATACACTTATTTATACATAAAAATATAGCAGTTCACAATAGACAATAGATTATGATAATTTCATACGAATAAGTGACTAAAATAATAAAAACAAGTAAAAATTACTAATTAATACTAATAAGTATGCAGTAAGCGAAATAAGAATCGATGTCAAATGATCGGCCATCGTTTCCTTTCCATCGAGTTTTCTAGAATTTAGCAATTAATCTTCGCTTTAACCAAAGTATCTTTCGTTATGCTTGCCTATTGACTCGACTTCCAATGTACATATATAATAAATAAATAATTCGTTTAAATACGAAACGTCGTCGCAGTATAAACAATAATTAAATATTGCAATAGCTTAAAAAAGATCGCTACTTTAAAATTGCTAACGTCATTATCATAATCAAATACAAAAACTCTTTGGCACCTTAAAATCTATTATAAAACTTTAAGTAAAATAGTGACTGCATTTTAATTAATATTAACTAAATGTAGCGTTGTTGATTCTTAAACGCATTGTCATGTCTTCAGTACCGTAATATGTATAATCTTATATATAGTGCTTATACTGAAAAAACAATACCATTTGAACGCTAACGAACACCGAAATTTAGCGCGAGAAGACTGTGGCATGTCATACAATACAATGATAGCCGGAGATCGGATTAATTGGGTTCGTTTTTCAATAATTGTTTAGTTGATTGTTCGAGCCACTTCCTTTTCGGGCTGAAAAATAAAATCGAAATATATTTAAATTACTTTAAATAAATTTAGAGTATTTTTTCTATGTGATCAATCGAACCAAATACTAAATCATCAAATTTAGGTAAAATTATAGAAACTTACACGCAAAGGATAGAGGAACGTGCTGATGACTTGTTGACGATTTTTAGACTTGGCTTGGCAAGTGTAGCCACCCATGTCTTCCCATAAAAGTTCTTCTATTATTAGGTCACCGTTGTCCAATACTCTGTGTCGCAAGTTAGTTGACAGAGTTAGAGGTATGTTGTAGTTATCCACCCAAGTGATTTGTGGTGTTGGTTTTCCACTTGCTCTGCAAGGCAACACAACTGTTGCTCCAATAGTGGCTACCAGAGTAGGCGAGTAAAGAGTAATTACTGGGTCGCTTTCAGAACTGCAGTTACTGGCACCACCTTCGTCTGTAAAGAAATCGTTGAATGAGAAATTTTTATGTTTCGAACTGTTCGAGATTTCGTCAGTGTTAGAATGTTACAGCTGAGTCTTCTTATGAAAGAATCACAATTTATAATTAGAAATCTGGAAAATTAGTTGATGCGAGTAAATCGATGTTGGCACTTGACGAAAATCAAATAGTTTTATTATTATAATCATATAAAAAATGATAAACTATCTGATGTCGAATTCAATTGGCGAAATAATGCATGGGAAAGAGTGAAGAGAAAGAGCGAAGAGTTTCATGAATCACTCATTAGTGAAATATACGAATGTATTATGAAAGATAAGAGGCTTGCGTGACAGTTGGTCAAAGCTTCATGTTAATGTAGTTCCAGATGATTGACAGTTAATTGTTAATTGTATTCCACTTACTGTTAACCAGCAGCACCGTAGGAGTGGAGATCTTCACCTCTCTCGCAGAAACCGACGCACAGTAGATCAATCCAGCATCATCCGGAGTAACGCATTCTATCACGAGTTTCGAATTAATTCTGGCCACTCCTTTCCACTCTTCGGATGGATCGTACAAAGAATGCGTACTGGTTTTCACATATTCGATCAGCTATCACAAAGGACAATACCGGAAATTAATATTCTCTTCTTTCCTCTTGATCGTATGATATAAGAATCGTGTTTGATCGAACTACTTACTTGTTCGTTACTACCGCTTCCTGTAAACCAGAGAATTTCTGGTGGAGGACTGCCGCTAGCTTTGCATTCCAATTCCACTTTGCTTCTGTAATAACAGAAGAAATACAGTATTATCGGTTTACGCATCTATTCTCTTCGATGTGTGATATTTACCCCACAATGGTTTCGATGCCGTTTACTGGATTCTGTGTGATTTTAGTCCATGGCTCTACAGGCTGAAAATCGAAACGTTGAATGTTATCTTTTGGAATTTATTTGTACTGAGATTTTCCTAATCCCTAGGACAAAAAGTCCCATTTTTCGCAAATATATTTTCAAAAAAGTTAAATTTTTATAGAACAACGATTTAAATGCCATCTTATATTCGTTACATTCAGCGTCCAGTGATCATACTTATTGCAAATTTTTTTTTGCCTAGGTTTGGCCCATTTCCTAAATTCGTGAAAGTTTATTTAATTAATGAATTATGTTTACCTTACCTTCGATTCAGTTCGTGTCCCATATTCCGACAATGGTGTTAGGAAATTGGAATTGTGCTCTATCATTTGCCTGTTTATGCTTCTACGTTCGGCAGCTCGTTCAACGGCATGCCGCGGCAGGAATGAAAAAGGGTGTCCCGAAACCGTATACGATACGGTGATAACGCAAACGAGATTAATCAGTATTGAACAAGATCGCATCTGAAAGCATAAAATGAGGCCGTGAAAGGCAAAGTCGATATATCATTGGCAATTACGATCGGCAATGTTACCGGCTAACGATGTTACATGAAAGAAACTAATTTGATGAATGTGAAAGGACATTGTGCAATGATTGAATCAGAATGAACACTAACGTCATGCTCCTTTCGCAGAAATTGGACCGATTGAATATAACAATGCGGATTTAATTGCCGGGTTAGGTGCGCGATTTATAATATCGATTCATTCGACCTTCCTTCGAGGATACGAATAAACACAATTGGCAACAATGAAATTAAACTCTTGAGGACGCGACGATAATTAAATATCTCCGATAACAACCAGAATACACATTCCATTCTTTCTTTTTTCCTGCTTTCCTCTTTATAGCACCGTATTAATACTAGCTAGTTTCGTTTAATAATTTCGCTGAAAACGAGTTAATGATATTATGATTAATCCTTCATCGTTTTAACACACTTTCTCTTCCATAACGTTCTTTCTCAACTCATTCGATGTCCTTGCTATTGTAATCGTACGAATAGATATCTCTAATAGTGGACGAAATTACGATATACAGATAATGATGGATCACGTGGCGACAATTTTGAAACAATCTCGTGTTGAAACTAACATAAAATTTATGATACAGCCGGAGGAACCGTTCGCTCGGATCAGTCGCATGGCCTGCTTGTTAATGTGAGCATCGAAATCACCAAATTAAAGAGATTTCCTTATCTACCGTATTTTATTATCGTGATATAGACAAGACAAGACGCTCGATACCTTGGCCGCGTATCCTTCTGACGGTAGACTGACAACGTGTCGCACGAGGAATGCACGGTTTCCGAATGACATCTCTCGCTTCGACTTAAATCTGTATCTCTCACGGTTCCTCCACTTCGACACGTTCGGTTAGGATTTTAGAGGCGTGTACGTGCTGGCCGCGTCGTTTACCGTGACTTTCAGGCGTTCCCTCGGCGGAACGTTGTTCTCACGAAGTTCACGAACAAAATTTAGATGCTACCGCATCATTTTATCTTTGGTGTTCTCGTCCCGCGTTTCTCCCCTTTTTCTTCCTCTCAGTCACTCAGTCAGAGAGTCTTTGTGAGAGGAAGAAGGAAGGTCACGCGTACCGTTTAAAGAAGATTAAGTAACTCGGCTGTTAACAAGACAAGATGTTTGGAAATGAATTCGCGCGAGCGTTAATGAACACACATGCGGTGCAAAAAAATAAGGGAGAATCTGGAGACGATACGGTGCGACGTGGTGTGTGCGTGAGCGTGTGTGTCTCTCTTTTTTATTTTATTTTTTCTCCTTCTTCTTTTACTGGAAACACTTGCATGCAGCGTGTCCCGAGAACAGTTAAAAGTGGCTAAAACTTCCGAGGTTTACGACGGTTTTATAGTTTCGTAATGAGGATCGGTACTTAATTTCTTCGATGTTTCAATGGGCACCAGATCCATATACATTATATTTAACCGGTTATGAGAAGGACTATTTAACTTATCTAGACAATAATTAGTTACTTAGGCAGAAAATGTTACGAATATTATATAAACATAAATAATATCGAAATATTTAATGAATACGCGTTAATTAAACGTGATTATGTTGAAGCAAAGAAAAGAATATATCTTAAAATACGAATAATTGAACATTTCAATGTTTTATGTTTTTGAAACATGTTAAATGTATGTTAAAGTAATTTGAAATTGTGAAAAAAGTTGATAATAATCAAAAATTGTAAGTTGAATTTATATTTAGTTCAGACTCGATTGTATGATGAAAGCAATTAGGTACTTTGCGTTAGTGTAATTCTGCGGTCGAAAATTACGATATATATATATATAGGTAACGTTGTTGAAGTGTAATCAAAAACTGATATGACCACAGGTAGATGATGTTATCATCAGCCAGTATTTAGACGTCTTTAAATTTCCTCGAGAACGTCATGATGAAATTAATCGAAAAGTGTCAAATAATTTGATGCGGGAAAAAGGATAAAATAGACTGTTCTATTAAAAATTGGGAAAATTGTTTGAAAATTTGCTTATTAAGATATATGTAACTAAAAATAGAATTCAGTTCTCCATGTGTTATCTACTTTCAAGGGACTAAGAAATATAAACTGTAAAATCTATATTTTAATCAGAAATCTTCCTTTCTATAAGAATTTGCCTTACAGTTATCTGTCCTATTTATATAAAGTTTATCTACATGTATCTCGTACTTCTCACTTTTTTACATAGAATCTATTTACACGTGGTTTAAACTCGGAAATTTTCAAATCGATATATATATATATATATATGTGTATTCTGTTTAAAAAATTTCTTTCCTTTTTCTTACCTTGGAACTTATGAATCACGACGGATAATTGTCACAGGTAGATAAAGTCCGTAGGAATATCGAATCTGGTACTGCTATGAGATAGAACTTTTTATAAAGATACTCGCGCCGGAGATGCTTTCTAGGAGCGCACATCACGGGAGGAGGTTTCGAACCGAATGATGCAACTTCTTATACAATCTTCGCATCTTCCCTATCTCGCGCCCTCTTTCCGCGGAGCCCTTTAACGTATCGTAATCTAGATATGATATTAGCTAGCCCGTAAACTGCGATAAGGAAATATGCAGTGTGAAACACCAATCACGAAATGAATAAAAACTTTCATCCTTTTCTCCTATTTTGTTCCTGTCTGTTTCTTTTTTTCTTTTTTTTTAATTATATGCATAAGAGTATGTTACATACTTAGAAAAAAAGAAAATAAAATAAAATCAAATGAAAAAGAAAGAAATTCTTTTCTTCTAGTTTATTTCGTTTTTCTTTTTTCTTTTTCTATATGTTTGTAAAAATATATTATATTCTTGTCCAAAAAGTAAAAAAAGAAGAAACAGAAGGCAAAGAGAATTCCCTTTCACTCTGTTGCATTCTTTTGTCCTCTCTTCAAGGTATATTGTGTTCATTCAAGTCATGTTCTTAAACGAAAAATCGAAAGAAATGAAAGAATAAGCCTAAATGATTATCAGATTTCACCAAAGAATTTCTCTTTCCTTTTCAAAAGAATAAGCAACGTACAAAGGATCTGGTGAAGATCAATTATTATAATCTGACAAAAAGTGTTAACATTAACTATGGTTCACTGACAGTCCAAGAAACTAGTCGATAATTTCTACTTTTATAGTAGTCTATCACTCGTGTAACGGCGCGAAACAGCGTAAAAGAGGGTAAAAAGGTGGCTATAAAACTAACCAATCGAGGATCCACGTTAGAAAATTTAAACTTACCATTATTTCGTTAACTTTCTCTTGAAGTTCGAAAACGATTCAAGGTTTACTATTTAATCGACAGTTTGGCAGCGACGAATAAAAATACTGACTGAGCGTAGTCGAACAGATATTGACACATTTATATATTTCGAATATGGCAATGGACGCCCTCGCTTATACCTGATTGGACGAGACAGCGAAGAGTAGGGAGGGTACCAACATGTCAAACAATTGAATTCATTACCCGCGCGTCTCGTTTGTGCACGCGTAGGTAATAGTCGTACAATTTACTTCCACCCTCATCTATGCTCATCATCGATTTTTACTTCGAAACAGCCACTGCGATAATTACTTTTATTGAAACTGATCGTACCAAGAACGAGGCGTTCATAATTACCCCCAACCAGCTTCTTCTCGGTCGGATCCAAACGGTACGAAAGACTATCGAAACTTTTGTACGGGTACCCTTCAATTTGTCGGGATGTAGAGTTAATGTTAAAACACGTGAACTACTGTGAATGAGCTATGACGGATAATTGTATGGGTCTCTGATTAATTGATAGAATATCGTAAAACGAATTGATCTTATTGAATTGTCCACGCCAATGACTTATTAGCGATGGATTGTAAGCTCTAAATAATCTGCTTCTTTTCCAAGTCGTTAAGCGACTTCTGAACTTTTACTAATAGATTTACTTATTTACATAAAAGAATAAGTTAATTTTTATTTAATGTGTTTGTTTTTGCTAATAATTAGCTTCGAAAATCTTTATTTTCTCATTTATTTTCCCATTTATAAGTTTATAAATTTATTTTTAATTTTACAAGATTATATGATTTCAGTATGTAACCAGTGATTTTATTTTTATGTGTTATATATATTTACCTATATGAAACCTAATGGTAAAAATGTATCACTTTGTATCCTTCGGTTCTTCGTAAACCGAATTCTTCGAACAGATAGCATGTCGGCATCTGATGAATAGGAGGGGGGTTAGTTAAAACATTTCTTATGGCGTGGTGTTATATCATGTTTATATACACATGTAATTTAGTACGTAATTTAAACAATTTAAAAGAAGATTGGAATTGAAAATTTTTGGGACTAAGCTATTACGAAAAATTTAAATATGTACACAAATATGTATAGAAATATGTATACAATCTTTGTTTACATAAGTGTACATTTAGTAGAATTTCGTTTGCTTCTTAATATGTTATATCTATCTATTATATATTGCAGGAAAAATGTAAATATACATAAACATATAGAATAAATTACTTGAAGCTGAAAAATAAAAAATTATCATAAATGTTATATATATATATATATTTATTTATTTGTATTTATATTTATACTTCTTATATTCTATACATCCTACAAAATTATGTATTAATTTAAACTTAAGTAAAAATATTGTGTATGAAAATATTATCCTCTTATAATATGAAAAGAAACGCATAGCACTACTTTAACTTAAAATAATTAGAAGAATAGAAGATAAGGAACGGTAAAAAAATATAATTTCTTTTACTGAAGAAAGTATAATTAATTTAATCGCAGAAAATTAAAAAATAAAATAAGATTATAATTTGTATTGGAAAAGATTTATTTTATAATATGTATCATATCTTTCTCAATTGATCATATATATTTCGATTTCCGGCTATTATTTTCATTAGTTCACGTTTGATCAATTTGATTACCTACTGCGATAATCTGAAATCGCGAATTACAATCAATGGATATTTTGTCGTCAAGGATGACCAAAAAGAAATGATAGTATCATCGAACTATTGCGTTGTGCTATTTTAAGAGAAATAATTTTAATTAGTCATATATATAAGATATTTAAATATTCATAAAAAAATTATTGCAATTAAATTTTTAGGAGAAAAAAATAGGTTTGGATATTTCATATATGTGTTATAGATGCATAGAAATTGTAATTATGTTGATTTATTTATTTTTACATTATTTAACATTGGAATAACAAATTACTTTTCATTTGACGTTGATTCTATTTCAATTGCGTTTAGTAATTTAGCCGTACTAACGATATCTTCTTCTATATTTTTCAAATTTGTATCAACTTCATTTATTCCTTTCAATACATCTTGCAAAACCTGCAAATTAAAAAGAAAGAATTACTATATACCATATTGTAACACATTGCAGTTTGTTTAAAGAAAAATATTCCTAGTTATATTTTCTATGAAACTAAATAATAAACATTTATCTTATTCTACGAAAGGTATGATAAGAAATACGATAAAACAATTTCTATATACAAAATTTTATTTTTATTCATAAATATAACCTCTAACCATTCTTATGTTTTGATAAAGTAACGTAACGTCTTCTTCTTTATATTGAAAGGGAGGTTCATAAAAAGATGCTGAAGATACTGATCTACTGGTCATGTTCAGTTTATTATCCTATTATTACTTGAAACTTTTGTTACTTTTGTTATTTTTAACTTAACTAACGCTGTCAAATTTTGTTTACATATATTAATTTTAAATTCCCTAGCGATCCTACTGAGGAGTATTTGTCATTTGTAGTTTGCATGGACATAGGAACGTGGAATAGGAATGACAATAAGAATAGGAATGTTCCCATGTCCATAGTAGTTTAATGTATCGTGTAGATGCATCATAAACATTTTAAATTCAATGGTGAGGAGGATTCTACAAGGAAACGAATTAATTGTTATATTTAAAATCGTCATAATTTGCATATTATATAAAAAGTAGTTCCATCTCTAGAATTTCTTACTTAATTTTTGTTGATCTATAATATTGATTTTATGATATTGGTTTCACATAAATTCAAAAGAGTGCGCTGATAGTTCTATATACTTTGTGTTTGCCTTTCTTTGTAAGATATAATAAGTTCAAACTGTTATTATGCTGACAATTATTAAAAAAATGTTAAAATAGATTACGCGAGAAATGACATTAAACGCGTATAACATTTGCTATTAAATGCAAAAGTAACTTAACAACATGGAAATGTATGTATTGATGTGACGTATAATGCACAAAAACAATTTATGATGAAGATGTAAGTTAAAATAGATTTCTCGATATTTTGTTTCTATTTCATAGTAAATTATACAATTTTTTAAGAAGGAATCTTGAATTTTAATGTATTTAAAAGTATAAAATAAAATTTAAAAAATTTACTTACATCATACAGAGTATTTTACACCATTGCGGAGTTTAAGAATATTTTTCTTAGATGTTGATTTGATTGTCATTATGTATAAAATGTTCTTTCATAAAAATGTGTTCAATTATAGTTACAAATGCATATTACTGAAGTTATAACTTTTCTTAATGCTGATATAAAAAGTATATCTTAAAATATTTCTAAAACAGTTACAATGGAAGCACAAACAGATAGTTCTGTTTTGCGACCACCAGTTAATTTAAGAAATATTAACACTGGCAATGTTTTTTATACACCTCTAACTTCATTTGCTGGTATGTAAATATTCATAAAAATATTTAGTTTTTCTAAATATTTTAAATTTCTTCTAAATTCAAATATCGTTTTTGGTCTTTATAACTTTTGCAGAAATGTGGTATCAAATATTCTTATGGGCTCTATTTTCTTCCGTTTTTGTTCACACTATAGCTGGTGCTATTTGTTTTGCTACATTAAGACAACATAAATATGGAAAGTAGGTATACATTTATTAATTATGTTCGAGTAATAAGAAATTTATAATGTAATGGATAACATATATTACTGATATTTATATCAGAAACCATATTAGTTAACAAATCAGATACTAAGTGCCAATTATAAAAAAATGTTAAATTTTTTTTATATGTATAATGCATTTAGAATATAAAATAACTTAGTAAATTTTCATTTAAAGATTCTTCCCATTGCTGATTATAATAATGGGTATATTATTGCCATTAACATCAGGAGTTCTTAGTTCTGCTGCCGTTGCTTTTGTATACAGAGCATCTCGATATCCACTGCCACCGTTATATGCATTATTTTGGGGTATTGGTCAGACTGTTGTAGCAGGATGTGTTGGATTCACGAGAATATTAGCAACTTTATAATGTGAATCAAAATTTGTAAATGAATGGTGCACAAGACATTGTTATTCAGGAATGTTGGATATAACATATAATAAGGAGTTTTAAGATTTGAAAACAAATGAATAGTATTCTATTAGTATTAGTAATAGTAATTATATAGTATTA